TGTGTGAGTTGCCCAGAGTTCCCCCATTGGGGGGAGATGGGCGGGGGAGAAATTGAATAAATAAAATAAACAAATAAAATAAACATGGAGAAAATTGTGGAAATTTTCTACAACTATTAATGAGGCAGCATGGAACTCACTATTCACCTGCCTCGTAGACCAGCCAAGATTGGAAGGGGGGAAATAAGAGGACAGGCGTCATGCAGACAGAGTGGATGGAGCCATGGATGAGAGAAAGAGTGGTGTAATTTAGGCATAATGGAATTACAACTTGCAAGGAAATGCATTACCACGTGGGCAGACAGTAATCTGTAACATGCCACCTACTTGAAAAATGTGCTGTTTTTCTACTTGTCCACATTTTTGAAAGGAGAAGTAAACATCCAAGTCACACAAATTGGCCACTGTTTGATTTTCTTCCTTGTAATGCCACATTTCTATACAGTATATGAAATTTCTTCATAGTACCGTGCATCATTTTCCCCAACCCCTGATGTAGGAGGCAGCAGTGGAATGGTCCCCAGTGTGATGATTCCATTTCACACGTTGTGCTACATAGATACGGAGTAGCAGCGGATCTGTGTCTCTGGTAAGATGCTGTATGAGTAGGAACAACATTTTGAAAAGGATGAAGGTGTTTAGTAATTTCAGTATTTATTTTAACTGTAGCCCCTTTCCCTAAGACCTGTTTCTCACCAGTGGAATTCCAAATGTACATTTATAAAAGTTTAGATATCTTTAGTATAAAAGATTTCTTTTAAAGTAGAGTTTTGAAATGCATTTTGATTATGCAGCAATATTACCAATATATGGCAGTCACTATTCCCTTTAAACAAAAGGCGCTGTGCCTTTGAACCTCATGAGGTTGTGTAGAGTCATCTCTCGCTTCCATACTTGCAGAATTAGCAAGATTCTAAGTAAATAGTTCTATGTCCTATGTATGAAAATTAGCATTGCCAAGATTTTTACCAGCATTACAGAAATAGCCATCTGATGACAAGGCAGAACAAGCTACCAGCTAGGGAGAAAGATATTTGCTTGGGAAATTAGAATGAAACATAATAGTTGCACTGAAAAATCACCTTGTAGAACAAATGTTTGTGACCATAGGAAGTGGTATTAAATGGCATCTATGTTTTGCTTACTGGTATTTCTCTGTAAGATTAAAATATATATTTGACAAAGATAATTAAGTGTATACTTACATATGTAATGTATGTGTGTGTATACACATACGTACATACATACATACATATTTACATACATACATGCATGTATGCGTACATAGCCCAGCTGCTATGTGTTTTTATTTTTATTTGTTTTTTATATTGTGTATTTTATGTATTTTATTTGTTTTATTGTAAGCTGGCTAGAGTCACATAAAAGTGAGATGGGCAGCTATATAAATCAAATAAATAAATAATAAGGCTCTTTAGACTATTATTGATGGGTTGCAATTAATATTAAGGACCAGTATGCTTTCCAAACTTACAATGACTCCTGCAGTATAAATAGCCACAGTTATCTGAGTTTGGATGGAAGGCTTTGTGGTAGTTAGGTCAAATCCAAAAGTAAGCTTTTCCTTTCTCCTCTTTCCTGCAGCCATCATAGGCAGAAAAGAAGAGGGATCCATGTACGGCCATGGCTGTCCTATTCGGCTCACCCAGATCATAGTTTAGTCTTATCTCCAGAATGGCCCATGACTTGAAATACACATGAAATGCACATGTTCTGTTTCCTTCTGGCGTTCAAAGATTATGCATATCCCATTTCAGGATTATGATTGAGCATCTAAGTCTTTTTATTACGCATGAATATAGAAAGTTATTGTATTCTGATACTTACAGTCTTCTGAACAGCAGTACTGAAAGCTTCTGAAGAAACTGAAAAAGCTTATGTAAACACTGGATTTAAAACAAATAACACCCCCAGACCTAGTCTCTTCACAGTGAAGATGGATGCCAAAGGTTCAAAATGTGTGAAAGCTTAATTTTTTTTAAAGAAAATGTAGTTAGCAGTATTGCTGCTTTTGATGCCTTCTCCCTCCCCTTTTCAGCCATGCTTTGCGTTCACTGAAATCTGCACTCAGATGCAATCCCTGAAGGCAGGGAGGGAGTAATTGCAGCAGAATTAACCTCTGACTGTTTTTTTTCCTAAGAATAGCTCTGATAAATCCACTCATCGGCAGGTTCCCTACTTACCTTGATGCACTGCAAACCCTTTTCCGCTTTGCTTATTTAAAGTACAGTATTTGTAATTTCTCTCCACCAGAGTCTTTTTTTTTCTTTTTAGCCACCATTTCATTATATTTTACATTGCAAAGATGAGTCAGTATTAAATAATATCAGATTTTTACAACCTATAACATGAGAACAGATTTGAAGACAGGACAGGGTGGCAAAAGAGAGCCTGTTTGATGTAGTGGTGAAGGTGCTGGGCTAGAAACCAGGAGACTGTGAGTTCTAGGCCTCCCTTTGGCATGAAGCCAACTGGGTGACTTTGGGCCAGTCCCTCTTGCTGAGCCCAACTCATCTTACAGGGTTGTTGTGAGGAAAATAGGAGGAGGAAGGAGTATTAGGTATGTTGACCAATTATATAATTTCTAAAATGTCAGGATCATCATCATCATTGAACTGTTAATACAAGAACTTACAGAATATATGGATTTGGGGAAACTTTAAATACAAGCAAACCCAGCAGACTTAATTTCTGAGTGAATGTGTTTGGAATTGTGCTGCCTCTTTACTTTTTGAAGATTGTGCTAGATGCTTCAGATGAATTTCACAAATACTTCCAAATCGGGAGAATCCCAGATCAAAAATATTGGTTTGGCATTTCCTTTCCATCCACAGGATTTGTCTTTCCTTGTTTCTTCAACTTCCGCTCTTCTCAGTTCTGGACTCTTTTCCAGGGCTAATGCTTTCATGTCTATCCTGGACTAAGATTGGGGATGTTGGTGCAATAGCAATTGAGGGAAGGACAAATATGGAAGGCAAGCATGCACTCCTTTTAGTCCCACAAGTGATTTATTTTTTGAAATCGGAAATGGTGCCTCTAAGGAGGCCAACTCTTCTTTTGACCTATGATGTTCTTCCCACTGGAAAATGATTGACCAACCCAGAGGCTCCTCCAGAAGGAGAAAAGATTCTTTGTTCACTGTTGCAATAAAAAAGTAATGTGGTCCTGTCTATATTGTGCCATGAATATAGAATTCAGTTTAAACATTGTATGTCTGTATACATCCTGTGTGGTTATGAATGTGTCAGTTATAAAGGATAGTGCATCTTTTGAAAGCTGATTATATCGGAGTGAATCCAGCTGATAGAAAACAGGGAGAGAAGAAAGGATGATTTAATATTAACAAGTTTGTATTTACCTGTTGCTGTTTCCTGATGCTCTAAATGAGAAGCATGGCAAAACGTCCCATGTTTCATGGTTTCAAGGCAGGGAATAAGATATATGCTGGAAGAGTTGCTGAAATTTGTAGTAGAAACAAATTTATCTGTTATTATGAGATGCTGGCCCGTTTCTGTGGAATCGCGTTCTGTCAATAATTTGGCCTCCACCTGCCAGGTAAAGCTGTAAGTGCCCATATGTGACATAACTGCAAAAGTCTCAGGTGCTGTTTCAGATCCTGAGTTATTCCAGAAATAATTTGTTAAGGTGTGAAAGGTATATAACTTTTGCTCTAGATCAGTGTTTCTCAACCTTGGCAACTTTAAGATGGGTGGACTTCAACTCCCAGAGTTCCCC